TCTGTCTCTGTCTGTCTGTGTCTCTGTCTGTCTCTGTCTGTCTCTGTCTGACTGTGTCTCTGTCTGTCTCTGTCTGTGTCTCTGTCTCTGTCTGTGTCTGTAAACCGGTGAGTCTATTTCCTGGCAGTGAATAAAGAATTCAGATCCGTCACTTGGCAGAAACAAACCAGAGTGAAACTGGTTTGGAGCGAAGCAGAAGAGGAAGCGGTCCAGGTTCGTCCTCCCTCTGGACAGACCAATCTAAATGTTTGTGACTGAGTTCAGTGTGAGTCCTGCAGAGACCCAGATGTTCACACTTTGATAAGAGATCAGATGTAACGAGCCGCTGGCGGAGCAGCTGCCGACTCGTCTTCGTCAGGATGAAGCACCTGAGCAGACGACGTGAGGACAGAGACCGTGTGGACGCATCCACGGGAAAGGTTTGTTTACTGGTGACCACAAACCGTTTCAGTTAACTGATCGTCAACACACACACACACACACACACACACACACTCACTCTCACACACACACACTCTTGTGGTTCATTAGTGAGAAGAACTATCATTCTCTCTCTCTCCGTCTCTCTCTCTTTGAATCTGTGCCACTGCTTCCATCATCGTTATCCTCCGCTCGCGCTCTCTTCCCTCTCGACTGAAGACCTGCGATCACCAGCACACTCTCTCTCTCCCTCCCTCCCCCCCCCCTCCCTCCCTCCCTCACCCACGCTTTCTCTCTGCGGGGGACTTTTAATCTGAAGGTCTGCCATCGTCTCCATCAATGATCTCCTTCAGTTGAAGACGTGAGACTTCGGAGGTTTGGATTTTTTTTCATTCCTCCTCTTGTTCCATCCATCATTGCACAAACTCCTCGTCTACCTCGACGATGCGTTCACTGCCCAGAAACAGTTTCAGACTTTTTTATTGGCTGCGACTCAACCGCCGGAACTCAATCCTGATCCTCCCCAAAGGACTGAACGAGTGAAAGCGTCTGAACATCTTTAGTAATCTCCGTTGTCCTCCTCCTCCGCTGATCCACGTATTCACTCTGTTCCAAATATAGATTGTAAATAAAGATGGAGGACATCAGGCTGCTGGGTTTGTTCTGGAGCGAAGGAGAATTCAGCTCCTGAATCATGCAGACGACTGTCATGAGTCCAAAAATTCAAAATTCAAATTCATGCTTAAGGAAACGTGTTGACAAAATGAAATGATATTCCCTATGAGGTCACTGTACCGCTGACCTTTGACCTTTGAGCAACAATCAGTTTCTCCGTGAGTCCAAGTGAACTTTTGTACCAAACAAATCTCCTCCAGACGTTCTTGAGATATCGTGTTCAGAAGAACGGGACTGAAAACCCAAAACATACCTCCAGGCCTCTAGGTGTCGCCAACACGAACGAATAAAAAGATTTAAAAGAAGCCGAAACAAAGCCAGTGTCGCTTTAATCCAAAAGTCTGAACTTGCGTGAACAAGAGATCTTCTTACCGTCTCCTCCGCCCGGTCGCCCTTGGCGCTGATGTAGCTGAGTCGATAATGTCGGACGTTTCTGGCGTCGACCGGCTGCCAGGACACGCGGACGCTGTAGGTGGTTTCCTCATCGATCCTCATGTTCCTCACCCCGAAACGAGGAGCTGAAACACAAATCACTCGTTTCTACGATGATGAAGAAACGGCCGTGACGCGACGCGGCAGCGGCGCGTGGATATTTACCTGCTGTGGTGGTGGTTGTCGTGGCGATGGTGGTTGTTCTTTCAACTGAGGATGAGACGTTAAACCTTTAATTCCACCTCCGATCTCCGTTTCACTTGAACTGGTTCACAAATAAAATGAAAACTTAAAATGTGCTGATTGAATTCACCGGTGGACTGGACCAGGATGACCTCGTCACTCTCGACCTCGTTTGCGTAGACGGCCGCCAGCAGGACTTCGTACTCCGAGGCCGGGCTGAGACCTTGAATCAGGTAGGTGTTGACGTTTCCATTCACCAGAGCCTGAAACAACGAGAATCTGTTTAACAAGTCGAATCTTCTTCAACACAGAGAATCAGCAGATTTCTGCTCAATCAGCAAAATAAATGTTTATCGACAGACGAGCGGACAGAAGGACAGACAAGATGTCCGCCCCCGGATCAGAGACGTTTTGGCTTCATTGTAAAGTAGAGGGGAACTCAGGTGTGACGAGGATTAAATGTTCAGGTGTGTTAGCACCCCCCCACACACACACACACACTCTATCGTACCGTACTGTAACGTATGTTTCTTATCATATCATAATATCGTAAACCTTGTATTGTATTGTAATGTAATGTGTGTTATTGTATATTAGTGTATTTATCGTAATGTGTGTTATTGTATCATAATGTGATCGAATATTTAAACACTTGATTTCCTCAGAAATTTACTAAACAATGAAAAGATTCCAGAATTTTCCTGAACTTTTCCGACAAACCTGCTGCAGCATCATGTCGTGTTTGTATAGTGTAGTATGTTATAGTATGTTATGTTCTAGTATGTTCTAGTATGTTATGGTATAGTATGTTATAGTATAGTATGTTCTAGTATGTTATGTTCTAGTATGTTCTAGTATGTTATAGTATGTTCTAGTATGTTATAGTATGTTCTAGTATGTTATAGTATATTATAGTATAGTATGTTCTAGTATGTTATAGTATGTTCTAGTATGTTATAGTATGTTATGTTCTAGTATGGTATAGTATGTTCTAGTATGTTATAGTATGTTATGGTATAGTATGTTATAGTATAGTATGTTATAGTATGTTCTAGTATGTTACGGTATCGTACCTCCTCACTGTCTCCTCCGTCGGTTGGCGTCCAGATGAGTCTGTACAGCACCACATCAGAGGCCGGGTGTTTCCATGACACCCTGAAGCTGTCAGTAGAGATGTCAGTGGTCTTCATGTCCAGTGGGTCTGGAACAGTCTCTACACACACACACACACACACACACACACACACACACACACACACACACAGGTAATTAACATGACGTCTGCATACTTCATATTATTTCTCCGTGAATCACGATGGTGTTGGTTCTTACTCGTGGTGAAGCTGTCGGTCACAGCCTCAGCTTGTCCCTCATCGTAGATGGCAAAGACACCGACTGTGTACTCCGTCAGTGACGTCAGGTTTCTGAGCGACCAGGTGGTCACGCGGCCGACCTCCACCTGTAAACACAGGATCGAACCACTGACGTATTTCTGTGACTCCTCCCTCAGTGTTTGTTCTTTACATCAAATCACAGCGAACGAAGAAGCCAAACAATCCTCCGAGAACCAGGTGCTTATCACCTCTGCCCAGATGTTTGGGACACTGATGAAAGTGAACAATCCTCTCACCTCATTGGTCAGAACCCCGTTGGTCTTCACGTACATGATGCGGTATCCTTTCACCTTCCTGGAGGTGGAGTCCCACGTGAGCTGGGCGGAGCTGTGGTCCACGTCAGAGAATCGCAGGTTCCTCGCCGGAGTCAGAGGAACTGAGACACAGATCCGACAAACAGGAAGTTCAACTCTAAAAGCTTTTTAAAGGTAAACTCAGCAACTACTCTTCAAGTCTTTTACACAGAATATTATGTATTTATTTATTTATTCTATGTATTTATGCATCTTAGACAGTTTATCATCATGTTTCTATCCACTCACTGAAACTGTGAAAACCACACCGCAGCAGTTTCCTTCATGATACACCAAAGAGTT